AGCTTTTTGAAAAAGTACTTTAAAACAATATAAAAAAGTTTTTTATGAATTGTGTAACAGATCTACAAATGATGTGACGGTTCCCCCTGTTGCTCTGCATTATATCCTGACGATAATTAGTTATCGTCTACAACCTAACCAATAACATTTAAAATTCTAAAAAATTAATGTAATTTTTAATATTAAATTTACTAGTAAAATTTACTAATAAAAAAGCTAAAAAAAAAACCAATTTTCAAACATTTTTAAAAAATTTAAAAAACTATTTAAAGCTATGAAGTTTTAACTATATACTTGCACATACCTAAAGTATATTACAAAAATATTTAAATAGATTGTTAAGTTTTAAAATTAGTCAATAATTAGCTTTTACTAGTGTCACGATTGAGTACAAAGTACTACCGATAGTACAGTAAAATCCTATCCATTAATAATAACAAAAGCGAAGCTTTTTTTAAAGCTAAATTAATTCTAACCCATCTTTTAACTATTATACTCTACCAAAAACATGTTGTCATGTGTTATCACCCTTGGACTAAACTAACAATTAGACCGCATCACCATATTTGCTATACATTAGAGATCTTAGTTTTCTTATCTGTTTGATAAATATATGCTCTTTGTTCGAGTAAATACTAAAATAATCCTTGTTAAAAGCTTTATATTGCTTGGCCTATTTAATAAACTGTGTAAAATCTTATATTAGAATAACCTTCACGTTTTAACATTTTATAAATCTAAGCTTTGGCTTAATAATTTAGACGTAGTAGAAAGCGATTGAAAACGATTAGAAAAGATTTTCTACTAGAAGCACTCTAAACGAAGAAATTTTATTAATAAACGTGGATACCTTCAGTTTAACTTATTATGGGTAGGCTTACATACATTATATTAAACGTATAAATTTTTATTACCATATTTTCGCGTAATAACGCCCATGAGCATTATTTCGAATTTTGGCTCGAATTAAGGACCAAAATTCGAAATTACACCCTGCGCATTATTACGTGAACATATGGTACGTATATATAGGCGCTTTGCAGTAGAAAAGGCCTAAATGCTATATATAATATATAGAGCACTTAGGCCTTTTCTACTGCAAAGCGCCCATATTAATACCAAATGCATAATTTTATTAGTTTTACGTATTACATAAATGTATGGTAAATTTAAGATTATACATAATGTACGTAGTACGTATACTATATACGTACTATATCTGATATTTCTTTAATCATTTATACGTACTACGTATACATGTTATTATAATACGTACCGAATTTATACATACTCTCTAATTAGTTAATTTTCTATATCTGATATATACGTATTATACTGTATTGTTTACGTACTAAATTACACCACTGGAGTTCAACACTACGTACAATGATTTTCACCAATTACTGTAAATTATGTACATAGATGCAGGGGGGTTACAGAAGATCAGTATAGTACAACCAGTGTTTAAAAATTTGATGTTCTCATGCTTTTTAAGAACATTTAACAAATTTTATGAACATGAATTATTGAAAAATGTTCTCTATTTGAGAACATTTAACTAATTTTTTTAATATTAAAAAATTTTTAACTTTCTAATACTGAGAACATTAAAAATTTTTTGAGAACATTAAGAATTCAAAAAATGTTTTTTTGAGAACATCGAATCAAATTTGAATTTTAAACACTGAGTACAACTGACCGGATTAGTATCAAACCATACCATACCGTTTTGCTTAATTGTCACACCCTATAAAATCTGGCCGGCATTAAACATAATTCCGGGCAGAGCTAACCCTAAATTCTAGGGGCGTGACAATTAAGCAAAACTGTATAGTACAGTTTGATAAAATCACATACTGATCTCTTAGAAAACCATATTAATAAAAAAATTTTTTTTTGCAAAATTTTGCTATATACATGTCATATTTTAATTTCTAACTATTACATGTTAAATGCTAATGATATGACTTAGCAAATCATATTTTTATATACAGTATTCCTTATATATATTAATAAACTTGAAAAAAAAAAAAACTTGACTAGATTTAAATGCTAATCTTTATTCATTTTATTCATGGTAACAAACACATCTATATATAGCCTATATATAAATGTGTATGTTTTCTTTTAGGCATAAAAAAGTTCGTGTTGTATAACATTGACACCAAATTTTAAACACAAGCCAAAATAACTTTTTAAAATTTTATAAAAAAACAAGAATTTCATTCTGACAAAACTATAGTTTAAGCTAAAAAGTAAAGAATTTTTGCTAAAAATTGTCGAGTCATCCATTACGCAATTCGGCTATTATAGTGTAGCTTAAAATGAACAACGTATGAGATGACTACGATCGAATATAATTTGACAGCTTGCAAAACAGGTAATACAATCGACATGACGAGCTCTCCTGATTGGTGCATCTTTGCAGGTCCCACCGGAATAGTTATTAATGCAGATCTATACTTACTTAGGGTTAGTTACTATTTTAGATAGGATTTGCATCAATAATGTACAGTAGCTATTTCACTCTGTCGTTTTCGTCAACGACAATACGGATTTTCAGATCCAAAAACCCGGATATTAATTCCCGGGTATTAATCTCAAAGCTTGCGGCCACACAAGTGCAGTATATGCAGCTATATTTCCAAGAGAACAACCTAGTCATCAGAACTGTTAAGATATAACTTATTCACTGCCTTGACTGCATCGCCAGATTCATTTTTTCTTTGTTTTAAAAATTATATTTAGCCAAAGATTGCTTTCTGAAACACTGAGATTGCAACGCTGGCTTCGGCAATCAAGCCACACCTCCCTTCTCTCTGTCATTATCTATCGGTCATCGGACAACGGATTAAACCCACAACTGATTTTATTCCACAATGTCTGCCTCAGAACCTTCCACTATTATCAGTCTCCCGGAAGAAACTCTAGGATTACCCCCCGCACTTCCACCTTCTGTGTTACTTCAAGAACAACACGCTCAAAATGAGAATAGTCCTGCTGTTGACTATCCCATCCCTACTGAAAGTCTTACCTCTGTTTCTTATGATACAGACTTTCCCTCACTCTCAGCTGCAGCTGCCCCAATAACAAAATCTTCTGTATGGGGAAATCGCTCTGGTGCTGATCTAATGCGTCAGCAATCTACAGTCAAAAAGTCAGGAATCATCACTGAAATACTTGAATTGTCTGCTTGCCAACAATTGCAAAAGAAAGAGTTCGGTAATAAAACTACGATTGCCGATACAGTCAAACGCATCACCAATAAGACAAACACCCAGATCGATATGTCTACCGCAACAAAAAGTGGCACTACTACTTTTTTGATTAAAGGTAATATTGAAGATGTGATGAGAGCAAAGCGAGAATTACTGGATATTTTGGCTGTTAAAGTAAGATTAATTTTTGCTTATTATGTCAGACAACAATACAGCCTTTAGTTGTTTGTTGCTAATCAGCATCTGCCTTAGAGCGAAGAAACTATCCAAATTCCAGTTTCTGCTCGTCCTTACATTTTAGGAGCCCGTGGACAAACATTACAAGCAATCACTTCTAGAACTGGAACGCGCATTCAACTTCCACCGCGTCAAGAAAACAATATTGAAGAAAATGAACTCGGCTATGATGAGGATGAAGAAATGATGAGTGTCAAAATCGAAGGCGATACGAAGGGAATTAACTTGGCCAAAGAAGAAATTGCTACTATTGTTAACGAAAGAGTAAGAATTCGCTTTATACCCAGAGATGAACGGCCTGAATATGTAGTATTATCTGATGTATTTATACAATTTAACCATTTGTGTGCAGGCAACAAAACGGTCCCATCGTATTACGCATATAGAACATCATTTCTACCCATTGATTTTTGGTGCACACAACCAACGTATTCATCAAATTAGCATTGATACTGGAACAAAAATTCATGTTCCATTTTATAACGCTTCTGCAGAAGGTGGTGATAATCAAGACCATTCTAAAGATTCTATCGTTATTACTGGCGAACGAGATGCGATTAAAAATGCGATCGATGCCATTGAAGAAATCTACACAACATTAGTAAGCAACAAACTATTAAAATTAATTCTTTACTATTTTCAATGGTTTAATTTTATTAAACTTATCTAATTGAATAGAAAAACACCACACGAATTCTTAGTGTTAACATCCCGAAGCGTCAACATAAGTTTCTTATTGGACAAAAAGGATCGAATCTCCAAGAGATTTTAGAAACTACTGGTTGCTCTTTGGAACTACCTGCACTATCTGATCCATCTGAAAACGTTACCATTCGAGGTCCACAAAACAAACTTACTTCAGCTTTGCAAATTGTGTTAGATAAGGCTAATTCTGTTCATATAGAAACGTTAGACATTGCGCTTTCTCACAAAACCGATCAACCCCTGGAACATGCCAAAAATATCTTAAAATATCTATGTAACAGGAGTAAAAAAAAGATTGAATCAGACAATAATGTGCAGATAGTGATTCCCAAAGGAACAGCATTGGAAAAGAATGTAATATTGGAATTCGTTGGTAAAGATCTTGGAAATGTAGAGAATGCAAAAAAAGAAGTAAATGAGATTGTTAAGAACCTTGTATGTGTTATTAAAAAAAAAAAAAAATGATTATTTTAAAGCGCCTCCTTCGATATCAATCTTTACATTCCATTTATCCTTTAAGCGCGTCACATTAGCACCACCCTTTCCAATTACATGAGCAGAGTATTGTGCAGGGAAGGTAAAATCTTCGGTGTAAGAATTCATAAACTATATTGAAATTTTAAAGTTCAAGTAAATGTAAAGTTTTCAATTTAAACGTCATATCATTTGTGCTAGAGCATATTATATGGACAAACCTCGGTATGCTTGGCATCTTCGACAACCTTGTTAATTTCTTTAA